ATGCTGGCTGGGGAATTCTGGGTGTTGAAGTTCACACAGCTTCAAGTAGCCAAGGTTGAGAAACAACGATCTACTCTGTTTTCCATTTCTTTCCCAAAATCTCTCACAAAATATTAAAATGTAAAACCTTCACATGCACCCAGAAACAAACGTTCCTGCAAGTATATGACAGTATTGGGTTGGCCCCATTAGTACATGGGCCACTGTGTTTTGCACCAACTGTGGTTGCTGGATGGTCTTCAAGGGCAGCCCAAGCATCATGCATTACAGTAGTCCGTCTGGGGGAGGCCGAGGGAAGAGTGACTATTCCCAGCACCTTCTGTTCCAGGAAGAGTTGCAACCAACTGAAGCTGGGCGAAAACCTTCCTTGCCACAGTTTCCACCAGTTTCAGAGCCCAGAAGACCCCTACATTTTCTGGGGGAACACAGCCCCATCTAGAGCTAAAGTTGGTACTGCCCCACAGTTAGATGGCCACTTCTTGCCAGGCTTAACTCACAACCTGTTTCTCCCCACCCAGAACCTTACAGCCTCTAGACATGAGCCCATGACTTCCACCACATTGGGGCAGAGATGGACAGGTATCAGCTGTATAGTGATGGTCCCAAACCATCAGAGAACCTCCCTCAGTGGCTTCATGTAGAGTAGATGTTAGATAAGAAAGGGGAGAGGGTTGAGTACTGCAGCCAAGGGCTAGACCTTTCCTCCCCTGCATACACTGTCCACTCAGGAAGCAGTTGAATTGTTGCACCACCATGGTGCCAAGAGATCCAACAGGGCTGGTAGGATCATGGTCCCCCCCTTGGCCCTGTCATAGACCATCAACACAAGGTAAGAACATGCCATGGTGACCCCAAAACTGGAATTAGAGTGATCTGGAGCAAAAGGACTCACTAGGCAGTAGAATCAAGCAGGTGGAATTCACTTCTCCTCTTGTAACAGGTTCTGATTCCAGCATCCTTCCAGAGGCTTCCAATGATCTTTGCATGGCTGGGCTCCATGGTGACCACTTTATAGGCATCTACTTCCAGAAGCAGCTGCGCGTTTTGCTAGAGGCAGAAAAGGGCAGAACAGAAAACGCTGGTCTAGAGGCACACTTCAGAGGAGACTCATTTCACTGAATGCTGCCCACAGAAAGACAGTGGCCATGGAGGCGTGAAGTGATTTTGTGACAGCAGTGGTCTATTTGTCACTATTAACCAATATAGAAAAAAATGGAACCTCCATGTTCATAGGGAGTCTATCTCTGAATACTAGTCCCTAGGGGGCAACAACAAGGAAGGGCATATCTTTGCCATTCTTCTCGTTAGTCTTCTGGAGGAACCCAGTAGGCCACTGTGGGAAATAGGGTGTACACAAAGTGGAAAAAACATACAGGTAGTCCTCAACTTACGACCCCTTATTTAACAACCGTTCAAAGTTATGACAGCACTGAAAAAAGCGATTTACAACCAGTCCTCATACTTATGACCATTGCAGCGTCCCTCCAGTCATGTGATCAAAATTCAGGCACTTGACAACCAGCATGTATTTATGACGGTTGCAACTTCCCAGGGTCACATGATTGCTATTTGTGACCTTCCTAGGGGGCTTCCAATAAACAAAGTCAATGGGGGAAGCCGGATTTGCTTAATGACCACATGATTCACATAACAACCATGGTGATTTGCTTAATGACCATGGCAAAAAAGGTCATAAAATTGAGCATGACTCACTTAACGACTGCATCACTTAGCAACAGAAGGTCCAGTCCAAATTGTGGTTGTAAGTTGAGGACAACCTGTAATTCTAAGTTCTGAACAAAACAGCCCCATCTGGAATGGTCTATGGGAATAAAACTAAAAATATTTCAAGAATGCAGAGAACAATAGAAATTCAAAAAAGACCCATTCTCTCTTTTTCATTACAGAACAGCAAAATGTAAGTGTGATTGTAGTGCATGCTGAGTGCTATTGACCATCTGACCTACAGAAAAATTGGTAAATGACATTATTTTAAAATTAAAAAAACATAACGAACAACCCATTTGCTATGGGAACTTTAATTTAAAAACAAATAAAATAATCCTTTCACCAATGACTAAAAATCACCCTCTTAATCCATTTTTCTGTAAATTAAACAGTCAGTAGCACTCAACATGGATTATCTCCCCTACCTACTTTAGTTGCTCTAAAGCAAAATAATGATGGAGCACAGCCTTTTTTTTCTAATTACTATTGTTTCCTATAGTAGAACACTTAAAGTGGAACAAAACTCCTTGGATGCTCCTTGAGCGATCCCAGGCCAATTAGCTCAACCTACCTCACAGGGTTGTTGTAGGGATAAAAAGAAACCAGCCCCTTGTATAAGGCACCCTGAGCTCCTGGGGCAATGTTGGAATATAACTCCAACTAATAATAACACTCTCATCATAAGCTTGGAATAGTTGGAAAGGTTTTTTCAAGCCGTAAATATTTGAAGTGCCGAATGTTTTGTACACCTCTAATGGAAAACAGAGACTTGGCCAAGGAGATAGTGCACATATATGGCTACTCACGGCATTCTTCTCCTGGGCATAAGGAATCTGAAGGCTCTCCATGGCTTGGATCAAGGCCTGGATGGATGCAAAGATGTTCTGATACACGACTTTGGCATAGTCTTTGCGATCCTCTTCTGAGTATCCCACTCCGTGGATAATCCTCATCTGTTTGATGAAGGTACTCTTCCCGCTTTCCCCAGTGCCTGATCGGTAATGCATAAAAAACACACCCCAAGCTCTTGGTTTTCCATCGGAACGTCTGGGCTCAAAGTCTATTCCGACTTTTCCAGACTTTGCACGCAGGCCCAGATGCTGCTGCGTCATCATCACCCACAATTAAAATCAACAACAGTCTCATGAGAATGGGACTAGACTGTGAGCAAGGCCACCACAATCGCATTAGATTTCAGCATTCTAGGTGGGAACCCAGGAGTTGGTCAATTTCACAAAGGTTTCTGTTTATGCTACTTGGCCCTCCAAGGCAGTTTCGCAGCCGAGGGCACTGGGTTGCCAACCCCAGCATTAGGCTGTAGGTGATGGGAAAGACCATAGTGGAGCAAGGATCCATGCCAGAGGCCAAATTCTAGCTTTGGGGGAGGAAAGAATCAATGGTTCAGTGGCAAAGTTCTGATCTACATGGAGAAGTTAGCGGGTTTGATTCTTGGCAGCTCCAGTTTAAAAGGAGGAGGGAAGAAAAGAGAGGGAAGGTCCTTCTCTACCTCAGCAACTTTAAGATCTCTGGACTTCAACTCCCAGAATTCCCCAGCCAGTATCTAGACCAGCGTTGCTCAACCTTAGCAACTTTAGGGTATCTGGACTTCAACTCCCAGAATTCTCCAGCCAGCACCTAGACCAGTGTTTCTCAACCTCAGCAACTTTAAGGTGTGTGGACTTCAACTCCCAGAATTCCTCAGCCAGCATCTAGACCAGTGTTTCTCAACCTTGGCAATTTTAAGGTGTGTGGACTCCAACTCCCAGAATTCCCCAGCCAGCCATGGAGACCAGCGTTGCTCAACCTTAGCAACTTTAGGGTATCTGGACTTCAACTCCCAGAATTCTCCAGCCAGCACCTAGACCAGTGTTTCTCAACCTCAGCAACTTTAAGGTGTGTGGACTTCAACTCCCAGAATTCCTCAGCCAGCATCTAGACCAGTGTTTCTCAACCTTGGCAATTTTAAGGTGTGTGGACTTCAACTCCCAGAATTCCTCAGCCAGCATCTAGACCAGTGTTTCTCAACCTTGGCAATTTTAAG